TATCTTTATATACAGAAGATCAATTTAGCATATATTAAGTAAAGATTTCAACAGTTTCCACCCACACAGAAACACAAAGTGTAAAATACTATTTGAGTAGTAATGGCAATTTTTTCCCTCATAAACTGATGTGTACGGTCTGGTGCTATGGGCTTCATCTTTTTTTTTTTTTTTAAGCATTTCCTGTGAGTTCTTTTTTTTTTTTTTTTTAAAGATTTATTTTATTATTTGAAAGACAGAGTTACAGAGAGAGGTAGAGACAGAGAGAGGTCTTCCATCTGCTGGTTCACTCCCCAGATGACTGCAATGCCCAGAGCTGTGCCGATCCAAAGCCAGGAGCCAGGAGCCTCCTCTGGGTCTCCCATGCAGGTGCAGGGGACCAAGGACTTGGGCCACCTTCTACTGCTATCCCAGGCCACAGCAGAGAGCTGGATTGGAAGAGGAGCAGCCGGGACTCGAACCGGCACCCATATGGAATGCCAGAGCTTCAGACCAGGGCGTTAACCCACTGCACCACAGTGCCAACTCCAGGTTTCATCTTAAATATCACATCATTTCTTTTTATAAAGCTTTATTTACTTGAAAGGCAGAGTCACAGAGAGGGAGAGATATTTTCCATCTGCTGGTTCACTCCCCCAAATGACCACAATGGGTAGGGTTGGGTCAGGCCAACGTGAGGAGCTGGAACTCCATTTGGGTTTCCCATGTGGGTATAGGGTCTCAAGCATTTGGGCCATCTTCCACTGCTCTCCCTGGCACAGCAGCAGGGAGTTCGATGGCACATGAAACATCCAGACCTGGAAAGGCAGTCATATAGAATGGTGTGCCACAGCAGCTCCTCGTCACTTCTTAAAGTGAATTATGTGTTTGTACACTGCTCTTTTCCTGTGGAGGCTATTAATATTTAAAAGTTATCTGTAATATCAAGAATAGGGAAATAAAGTATTTTATTTTCACTTACTCATTTTTTGATGATTCTCCTTTCTTCAGGTAGATTGAAATTTCTGATCTATATTATTTCCCTTCTATTTAATGAACTTCTAAGAACATTTATTGCAGGTCAGGTTTACTAGTAATTCTCTCCATTTTCATCTGAGTGTCTTCATGTCCCTATTCAAGGGATAATTTTTCCTGGTATGTAACCTACTTATAACTTGTATAATTTAAAAATGACATGCCTACATGTGTTTCTTGTTTTATTTTGGCACCTTTCCTGCTCTGTGTTCTGATCTTCCTGGATCTGTGGGAATGGTGTCTGATATTAATTTTTGGAAAAATTCTGTCATTACCACTTAAAGTATGTTTTCTACCCCTTTCTTTCTTCCCCTAATATTTCCATTAAGAGCAAATTTCATCTCTTATAGTTCTTGAATTTTTTTCAGTCTTTCTTCTTGCTTTCCAGTCTTGGCAGTTTCTATTACTACATCCTAAAGCTCAAAGGTTCCTTCCTCTAGTCTATCCAGTCTAGTAAGTTAAGCCTACCAAAATCATACTTCATTTATGTTAGTATTTTTTGGTTATAGTATTTCATCTTGTTCTTCCATTTTTCCTACATTGCTCATCTACTTTTGCATGTTATCTATTTTTATCAACTATAGTCCTCAACAAAGTAATCCGTTTTAAGTATCATGATAACTATAATATTCCTGCCATATCTGGTTCTAATGCCTCAAAGGCCCCTGCTGAGAATCAAAGCCAGGAGCTGGGAACTCAATCCAAGACTCCCAAGTGGGAGACAGGAACCTGATCACACCTGTTCCATCACCATTTCCAGGGTTTGCATTAGCAGGAAGCTGGAGTGATTAACAGCTGGGTACTGAATCCAGGGGCTCTAATATCCTAGGTTGAAGACTTCTCTTTCAGCAAAGATGATGCCTCTGTGTTTTCTATCTTGTGTTATTTGGAGAAGAAATCCGATTCCTTTTTTTCCCCTGTACCTAATTTTTTTTTCTAGTTGTCCTTTAGTTTTTAAATCACTGGCTTCAAGTATGTCTTGGCATAATTTTCTTCATGTTTCTTGAACTGGCTTACTGAGTTTCACTGATTTATGCTTTATAGTTTCCAATAAATTTGGGAATTTTGTATCCACAGTTCTTCAAATATTGTCTGTCCCCTCCTCGTTTTTTTCTCATTTGGTGACTCAAATTACATTAGTCCATTTGAAGTTCTGCTCAATGTTTCTATTTCCTCTAACTCTCTGAACTCACTAATTTTTTCCTTTACAGTTTTTTAATCTGCTGTTAATTTCATTCAGTGCATTTTCATCTCTGACATGGTAGTTTTCATATACAGAAGTTCAAGTTAGATTTAACATGCCCAGCCTTTTACAGTTTTAAATAAACTGAATGAAATCATAACTGCTTTGATTTGATGAAAACTAATACAGTAACTTTTACCAAAACTACTTTAGTGTCCCTTTATACTTTTTTAAAAAAGATTTATTTATTTGAAAGTCAGAGTTACACAGAGAGAGGAAAGAGAGGGAAAGAGAGAGGGAAAGAGAGAGGGAAAGAGAGGCAAAGAGAGAGAGAGAGAGAAAGGTTTTCCATCCAATGGTTCACTCCCCAATTAGCTGCAATGGCCGGAGGTGCACGGATCTGAAGCCAGGTGCCAGGAGCTTCTTCCGGGTCTCCCATGCGGGTGCAGGGGCCCAAGGACTTGGGCCATCCTCTACTGCTTTCCCAGGTCACAGCAGAGTTGGACTGGAAGTGGAGCAGCCAGATCTCAATCTGGTGCCCACATGGGATGCCGGTGCTTCAGTCCAGGGCATTAACCCACTGTGCCACGCTGCCCCCCCCTTATACAATTCTACCATTATGTCATTTTCAGCCTGTTTTCACTGTTTCTTCTCATTTTGAGTTGTATTTTCCTATTTATGTTTTCAATATTTAACTGGAGAAGACACTGTGTATCTTATCTTCTTACATGCTGCGTATTTTTGTATTCCTAAAAATATTGAGCTTCCTCCTAGGAGAATCTTGAAAACAGTTTTAACTCTCTGGAGCCTTTTTAAGCTTTGATAAGCCAAACTACAGAAACTTTTATATCTGAGCTACTTTTTTATGCCCACTACTTAGGCGGTATGCTTTCTAAGCATGCTAACCAAATCCACAAGCTATAACTGATCACTGCATATCAAATTAAGTTGCCTCGGCCCAAGTCCCCTTAATCCTAGACTTTAGCACATAACCTAGAACATCTGTCTCCTCATTCTGAGATTAGCTTAATTTTCAAGAGTAGTTCAGACATTTATTAGGCAGTAAATTCATATAAGTCACCCTCGTCTGCTTCCAAATATGTAATTTTTCTTTACTGCTGGTAAGCTGTACTTCAGACTTAGTGCCAGGCAATTCAGCATAGCATTTATTTTTTATTTTATTTTTTTGACAAGCAGAGTTAGAGAGACAGAGAGAAAGGTCTTCTTTCCATTGGTTCATCCCTCAAATGGCCGCCACAGCTGGCGCACCACGCTGATCCAAAGCCAGGAGCCAGGTGCTTCCTCCTGGTCTCCCATGGGGTGCAGGGCCCAAGCACTTGGGCCATCCTCCACTGCACTCCTGGGCCACAGCAGAGAGCTGGCCTGGAAGAGGGGCAACCGGGACAGAATCCGGCGCCCTGACTGGGACTAGAACCCGGTGTGCCAGCGCCACAGGCGGAGGATTAGCCAAGTGAGCCGCGGCGCCGGCCCAGCACAGCATTTGAAGCATGAATTTAACGGTTGATTCAGGTTTCCACCTCCGCACTGCTCTTCTTAGCTATGTGAGCTTGGCCTGTTTAGTGTGTTTCTCCTCTCTGTGACACACAGACACCAAAGAGCCATTAGAGCCTGAAATGCCGGTACAAGTTTTTTCGAGAACTCGTTACTTGGGAGTGATCGAATGTCAGGGTCTTCAAAAACTGACGCTGTGCCTGTCCTCTTCAGCCTATCAATTACGGGTTCCATGAGGCAGGAAACAGAAAAGTGGGCCAGGAGCTCCAGGTCACAGGTTCTAGTCTCAGCTCTATCACTGCAGTGTTGCATCCTTCCGCGTAACAACTTTCTCCTTGAAGTCTCAATAAAAGGTGGAATATTGAGTTTATTAAGAAAACGGTCACCCAGTTACACCACCAAATAAAACTGACCTTTTTCCATTAATATCAAATAAGTTAGTTTCTCTTTTTTTTTTTCTGTGAAAATTGCATCTGTCATGGCCACTAAATGTACTAAAATTAGGTATTTTGTAAAAAATTAAATATTAGGGTACTCATAAAATCTTCAAGCTAAGTACTAAGTACTGAAGATGACCTTTACCAGCTCATGTAAGGCTCGACCTCACGAAGCAACAACACAAGCCAAAAACAAACAACCAAAGGCACTCGGGTCCGAAGCTCAGCCTTCAGTCCCGCAACTGAAAAAAGAAACCAAAGCAAAACCAAGTGCGCGCCCCGCCTCGGGGGTCCGCAGGCCACGGCGGCCGGGAAGCGGGGTTGAATGGCTCGGAAACGCTCTCTCCCCGCGCGGCTTCGCACTCACTGCTTCCTTCTCGAACATGCTCGGCCTCCTCTCTTTCCTGGCCGTGACAGGCGACTGCTGAGGGGCCTGGCTCGGCGCCGGCTTCCCGCCTCGTTCTCGCTTCTCCATCTTCGCTTCCTCAAGATGTCCACGGCCCCGCCCCCTATCCCGCCGCCAGAATCTCGGCAGCTCTCGCGAGAGCCGGGAACTCTCGCGCGCCCGGCCGGAAGCCGCGCACCCGCCGGAAGTTCAGGGGCGGGCTGCTGCGCGCGCAGAGCCGGAAGTTATGGAGGTAGGGCCGTGGCTCACTGCGGCGTGGGCGCCGGGAGCGGCGTGGACGCCGGTGCGAGCGGCCTCTCCGGCCGCCTCTCAGCTGCGCCCGCGTTCCGCCGCCCCGGGGTTTGCCCTCAGTAGCCTGTGAGGGAAGACGCGCCCGCAGTGCGGGACTGGCGTTTGGTGGTCGCGCGTCCCGCGGAGGGCCTCGAAGGTCCGCGCCGTCGTGCCCCACCGGCCGTGCGGTGGGCTGCAGAGCGGGCCCGTGCGTGGGCCGCGGCCGGCGGGCGATCCTGGGGGTGGGGGCGGGGAGGCGCCCGGGCCGCCGGCTTCTCACCAGGAAGCGCCTGGTTTCGTCTCTGTCCTGAACGCGCGCCGGGACTGGGGTTAGTCCAGGAGTGTGACCGCGCGCTTAGGGGGCCTCTGTTACGCTCAGCCCTCCCTGGAAGGCTGTGGTTGGCTGGTCTTGCACCAGCGCTAGCTGACGCTGTACCTCCAGCAGGGGGAATGGGCAGGATGTGCAGTGGCCCTGAACTGGGCGGGAAACCGGAGACCGACAGGGAACACGTGAATTAAGGACGTCCCTTGGGCGTCTTGCTGCTGGCGCACCCTGTCAGAGCGGCGTGGGGCCGGTCTGGCCGAGGGTGGTCCGCTTGCTGTGAGACGTGAGGGCGTCGCTGTGGTTGGCTGGGGCAGACCCCGTACCCCAAGTCAGGAAAAAGGGGAACCCATCTGTTAACGTATGCGGTGCATGGTAGTGTGGACCTGAAGGAACAGCCTCTCAGGACGTGTTGGCCTCACTGTGGTGCATTCTCAGTAGAGGGCGGTCATTTGAAGAGAGGTGGACGGGACGTTTGGCCCAGGGGTTAAGCCTGGCTAGGATGCCCATGTCCCATACCAGCATGTCTGGGTTACGTTTCTGGCTCTGGCTCCTGATTCCAGCTTCCAGGTGATGACTCAAATAATTGGGCTGCTGCCTCCTGCCTGGTGTCCAGCGCATAACAAATCTTCCCAGGCAGACGAATCAATCAGTTCACAGGCTTTTATTGGGGTTCTGCTCCCGGGCGAGGTTCACTGGTCCCAACAGAGCAACAGTGCGGGGGCTGGGGAAGTCATCCATCAGAGAGTGGGAGGGCTCCTTTTATAGATTCAGGGCGTGGGGGTTAAAGGTTGAGGCGGGTCTGATCCTCATTGGTTGACCTTTAGGCACCCGCAGGGACCTTGACAAGGCCTCTCCATTCCCGGAAGTGTAAGCCTTCCCTCCTTGCGGATCCCAAAGCCACCATCCCGACCTTTTGATGATAGGAAAGGGGGCAACAATGAGTCTGTCTGGGTCCTTCCTGCTGACTGGGCACGAGTCTACAGGGGCCCACTGCGGGTATCTTGGGGCTCTGCAGAGACAGGCATGTATGGATGGAGAAGCATCTGGTTGCTGAAGGCCTTGGTTCATCCCATTATCACCTGCTGTAAACACTTAAACAGACACTGTAGTATACAAGTCAGGATGAGAATAGCAACCAATGATCCTAAGAGTGGCATTAACCAGGTAATGAGAGGATTTCATAGAGGAGAGGAATGGGGGGGTGGTGTCTGTGGACCCTTGCGAGGATTGTTTGATGACGTGGTTTAAATCTGATCCCAGACAAGACCAGGAGAAAGGCCGCTCAACTTTAGCAGGTAGTGGGGTTTGTCTGTAGAGAAATTCTGAATAGTCATACCACATTAAGTTGGGGAGAGGACCATCAGTACACACAGGTTGGGAGCAGAGCCATTGATGTTAGAGTAGAGGCTATGATTACAAAGGAATGAGGCCCAAGCAGGCTAGACAGGGTCTAGAACAAAGGACAGAGTCATTATTAGAGGACCCAAGAAAGGTGCTGTCTCAGCCACAACTAAGTTTGCTGATTGAGAGGCAAATAAACCTGACAGAAGGGGCTTGATAATAATCTGGTGGGCTTTAGGCCTTGTAAGTTAAGAGGCCCAGACCTATCCATCTCTTCATAGGGTACATCCTAAGGGAGGTGTGAACCTTCTTGGGGAAGGCACCCTGTTGACTTCCATTACCTAGCTGGCCTGGGAGGAGAGCTGGCCAGGTAAAGGCAGTTGGCAACTCTTACAGGAAATTTACAGTTCTGCCTGCAATGTTGCTGACCCTACTTGGCCGTCCCCTCAGCTGCGGTAGTCACTTTGGAAGCTGGGCCGAATGAGGGGCTTTTCAGCGTAGAGCCAGTAAGATCTGTGGCTCTGACCTGAAGTCCTCCGACTCCAGCGCAGGTCCATTTCCAGTGATCCAACTCTTGGCTGGCAGAGCTGCAGGGCTCTTCACAAGCTGACTTCTGCTGACGCCCAGGCTCACCACACTGAAAGCCACTGCAGTGGACTGGCCTGTTGGGTCTCCTTGAGGCAGATCACTGTCAGAACAGCCATTAATAGGCCTGCCACCTATCTTTACATTCCTGATGCCTAGCTTTCTTTTCCTCCTGATTTTTGTTAGACCAGAGGATGCAAGTCAAGGGGTGCTCAAGTCCCATCTCTAATCTTCAGTGGCCTAAACTAGAAGTCTGTAGTCATAGGCATGTTATATAATGGTTTATGTTGAGGCAGATAATGCTTGTCAGGAAAGCTATGTCCTTTCTTTAAAACTTTCTTACCCTTTGGTCTGAAGTCCTTCAGAATAGAATTAGTTTCCTACCTCGAAGAGAATAGAGAAATGAGAGAACAAGTTGGACTTAGAATACAGAAATGGGGGTGCCAGTCCCAGATCACTTAATGACAATAGCAATATCAAATGAAAACTTAGAAAGCAGTTTCAATCATTAGATAACAAATATAGCAGTTTCCATACTAGCTTTTTAAACTCTTTAACTGTTTAATTTACCAATTGATTATAAACTAACCCAAAAACTTTATGGAATATAACATGCTGAGTTTACAAAAGTTTACATTTAGACATATTATCTCATTTGCCTATACCCAATTTAAATTAGCAGTTACACCTAAATGATTTAAGATGCTGATATTAAATATTGCTAGCTGAATTCAATTAAAATTAAAATAGCATTCATCTAAAACAAGTACTAATTAGCCATTGTTGTTTCATTGAGTACTGATTACCAGGAAACCTGTTAAATAAATTGCAAAATAAGTTCAGCAAGTTACAAAGCGATATTTTCAAAGGTAGTGATCTTCCTAGATTCAAAGAGAAATTCCTTCAAACTCAGTGTCTTTTTACAGTTTTAGTTAGTTGCCTTTTTCCTAAGGACACCTTAGGCCCAAGATGTCATATTCAGTTGGCCACGTGGGGTTTAGGCACTTGACCTAAAACCCAGCAGACCGGAGGGGTAGGGTGAAGAAGGGAAAAAAGAGGGAGAAGGAGAGTGTAAGAGAGTGAGGAGAGAAGAGTAAGGAGACCAGAGGAGGAGGCTAGAGAGCCACGTGTTCAGGAACAGGTCTTTTTAAAACTTTGCCGTAGGGCAGCCATGGAAGCAGGAGCATCCCATTAGGATGGGGGTGGAGCTTGACACTGGTGGTTGGGCCATGTGGCTACCTGGCTTCCAGCAATGGCTGCGGGGAGAGGCAGGACATGGGGTGGGGCAGGGCGGAAGAATGCGCATATGGGGGCAGGAGGTTCCTGGCTAGCTGTGGGGTTCCTAGGAACTCAGGAGGGTCCAAAAAGCTGGGGGGTAGAGAGTTTGGCAGTAACACAGAAGAGGCGCCCTTAGGAGGTGGGGACCTGATCTTGGCCAGCAAGACCTGGGCCGTGGAGCAGGCAGAGAGGAAAGTAGGGGAGAAGGGAGTAGGACGGGAGTGAGGTCTCAGAAAGCCTGGACATATGGGACCTCTGACCATTTTCTCTCCCTGCGGCAGAAATTCTCAAGGTAATTAGGCCATGCCTGGGTGGAGTAGAAGATTAGACATTTACACCATAGGTCCTGGGCCAGTCCCAGTTGCTTCAAGTTCTTTAGGAGGCAGGCCAGGGGGCATTTTCAATCCCACCCTCGGGACTGGCCAGATCCCATGGTCTCCCCGGTAGCCTGGATCTACCGAAATTTGGTCAAGGCGTGCCCTGTCCTGGACTTCAGTAGATGGATTAGAGGTCAGTCCTCTATGGAGCCAAGCCAGCGGCAGGACGTCTCCATAGCTGCTGGGAGGCTAAACAGCAGAGAACAGAGCCCATGTGCGCACGATTTGGGGGTCTCTGTCTGGATGGAGAGCTAGCTGGAGATCGCAGAGACTGGGCCAACCCAGAGGAGGGAGGGAGAGCAAGGGAGGAGTTACTTACTGTTGGTTGAGTGTGGTCCGTAGTCAGCCTGGGGCACCAGACAGGTTCAAGGAGCAAGGGGGCCTGGAACCCAGAAAGGGGAGGCATGTACCCTCAGCTCCCGGGTTTCGGCACCATCTGCAAGGTGTCCTGTGCGTAACAAATCTTCCCAGGCAGACGAATCAATTATTTTATTGGGATTCCACTCCCGGGCGACAGAGTGGGGGTGGAGAAGTCATGCATCAGAGATTGGGAGGGCTCCTTGTATAGATTCAGGGTGTGGGGGTTAAAGGTTGAGGCGGGTCTGATCCTCATTGGTTGACCTTTAGGCACCCACAGGGACCTTGACAAGGACTTTTCTTCCCGGAAGTATAGGCCTTCCCTCCTTACGGATCCCAAAGCTACCATCAGTGTGGGTATTTGGGGAGTGAATCAGTGGATGAGGGCTCTGTCTCCTGCCTCTCAAATAAATAAAAAATAACCTGTCAAGAAATAACAGGACAAAAGAAAACGGTTTTAGGCTTCCAAGTGTTAGAAACTGGAGAAGCAGATATATGAGAAGAAATTACTGGCTTAAGGTTCACTTGAGCTTCCCTGGTGTCCTCCCTGAAGAGTCTGAGGTTGTGTCCAGTAGAAGCGAATTTGTATACTCTCTTGAGGCAGAAAATGAGGAGGAGCGAGACAGCTTTTCCTCTGCTGCTGCTTATTTGTCTTCAACTCAATAATTTTCATATCAAAGGATATTTTTAAAAAAGATTTGTTTTACCTGAAAGAGTTAGAGAGAGGCAGAAGCAGAGAGAGAGAGAGAGAGGTCTTACATCTGCTGGTTCACTCCCCAACTGGCGGCAGCGCCCAGAGCTGCGCTGATGTAAAGCCAGGAGCCAGGACCTTCTTCCGGGTCTCCCATGCGGGTGCAGGGGCCCAAGGAGTTGGGCCATCTTCTACTGCTTTCCCAGGCCATAACAGAGAACTGGGTTGGAAATGGAGTCGCCTGGACTTGATACCAGCACTGCAGGTGGCGGCTTTACCTGCTGTGCCACAGTGCCAACCCCCAAAGAATATTTTGAGGTGACATTCTAGTTTCCTTCAATATATTGAGTCAGAGGTTTCCTTTATCTTTTTTCGTTTTACTTGATTTTCTGCTCTCCCACTCCCAATAAGAAATAGCTTATTTTGATAATTCTGAGGTAGTAAAGGAGTGCTGAAAGGAATGGTACCCATTTAGCTGGGTGGCACTAAACCTATCTTATGTGATAAAGTGATCATATTAAGTATGGAACTGATCATACACATAGGACCATCAGTCAAGGGATCACATAAATAAGACCCAAGTGCCTGGTAATAACAATAGAATTACAAAGGAGAGAGAGTTCCCACATGGGAAGCAGTCCACACAGCAGACTCATAGGATGACCAACGCCCTAAACAGCACTCTGACCTCAGAATCAGCCCCTAAGTCCTGACTGAAAACACCATGAGAGCATTTCAGGCATGGAAAGCCGGCATAGTGGCAAAAATGGTTCTGCGTGAAGGATCTCTGTGAGTGAGACCCTGGTGGAAAAAAAGGGGCCATCAAAGAAGGATGTACTTTTCTTTGAAGAGAGGAGAGAATTTCCACTTTGCATATGGCCCTGTCTAAAACCCAATGGAGTTTGTGAACTCGAAATGCTTCCATAGCCTTGGCAGCTCATGTCAAGAGCTTCAGGTGATCACTGATGTCATAAATAAGAGTGTCAATTGTTAAATCAACAACAGGAGTCACTATGCACTTGCTCCCCCTGCTGGACCTCTGTCCTTAATGAGTTGTGCTATGAGAATTAATGGTAAAACTTGTCTTCAAACTGTACTTTATACTTTGTATGTCTGTGTGGTTGCAAATAGTTGAAATCTCTTCTTAGTAAAGAGTTGGTCTTCTGTATATAAAGTCAGTTAAAAATGAATCTTAATGGAAAATGGATGAGAGAGGGAGTGGGAGGTGGGATGGGAGTGCGGGTGGGAGGGCAGGTATGAGGGGAAGAAACACTATATCCCTAAAAGCTGTACATATTAAATAAAAACCTTCAAACAAACAAAAAGGAATGGCACCCTATTTATAAGACACATTGAGCTTCTGTGAACTGGCATCTTAATTACTCTGATCAATAAAAGAATTTTCAGTGTTTATCTTCTATTTGAAAACATGTACATAAATTATCTTAGTGTTTAGCTGTATTATCCAGAAAGCATGGTAACAGCAGTTACAGCTAAGTACATTCTGCACTTTAGATAGACTTTTTCGTGTAACTTAAATAAATAATGTCCCTCTGCTTTTGTTTCCTACTGAATAGTGTCTTTTGTGTTTTATATTTCAGGTACTAATAGAGGAACCTGTTACCACATGTCTTTCTCCCTCAGTGTATGACATTATTTGTAAAGTTGGTTTTGAAGTCAAAGAACTTTGTGCTATCAATAGCGTTGTATCTCAGAGTGGTGAAGTGTATTGGAAGACAGTCACAGAGTGTTTGAGATATGCAGAGTCAGGTCAGTACCCAGAGATCAGTCCGTATCATTCCACTGAAAGTGTCTTGGTCTTGGTCTGAAAAAAATTCCTTTTTTTTGGAGGATGTTGTAATCCAAGCCTGATTTAAAGGAGAAAAGAATCAGTGTGAGAAGAGAGGATGAGACCAGAGAAGTATGGGAGGTTAATGAGAGCTGGATGGAGAGAGCCCTGTGTGAGCAGGAGGGTCAGGAGGTGGCTGGGATTGATGGGCAGGTGATCATGCAGATCCCGGGGCCTCAAGGTGATTCTCTGTTGAAGGCGTGTGAATTGCAGGTTTGGCATGACCATAATTATAAAATCATTTTACATGTTTTATAGTCACTTGTGTATGCTTTTGGAGCAGGTATTAGGGTTGTTACAGCACTCAAATGAACATAGTCTGGCCTAGCAGTTCCATTCCCAGGCATGTGCTACACTCATGGATCTGAAAGTGTGTGCTGGTCAGGTTTTCATTAGAGCAACTAAATATGTGAAACAAGCTCCTGGTGAAGGAAAGGCTTATTTGGGCTTATGGTTCTGGAGGTTCAGAGTCCAAGACTGGGCAGCCCTCCCACCCCAGGTCCTCATCTGGAGATGGTGATCTTGCCAGCAGAGCTGTGAGGTGGTGTTAAACATCATGGGGCAAGAAGGGTGTGTATGTCTGAGTCTCTCCTTACAAAGCCACCATGATTTGGTCATGGGCCCATCCCAACAACCTAATCCGATCGAATCAAAGGCCCCACTGCTAAACCTGTCATTGTACTAAGTTTTCTCTTTCTTGCTGCTGTTAATGTCACTTTGGGGTTTAAACTTCTACATGAGCTCAGGAGCCAAATCACATTTGATCCTTGTAGCATTCTTTGAACAGCTAAATAAACATATGACTTAATAATCTGGGAACAGCCAAACATTGGTAGGGGATTGGCTCAGTAATTAACAATAAATGCAGAAGTGAACTGTTAGGCAGTGATGAAGAAGACTGAGGAGACTCATTTGATACTGTGATCTCTCTAAGTGAAAGAAAATAGCATATATTTATATTTGCTTGTATATGTGTAAGTGTTTGTAAATGCCCCCAGGAAGTTAATAAAAGTAGTTGCTATAGAAGAAGAATTGAAGGACCATGTGGGATGCTTTCAGTCCTGTGTATTTTTAAATCATGAACCATGTGATTCTTAAGTCCCAGACTAACAAAACAAAAAAGTTTATGAGTAATTTATTGTCAGAAATCTCATAATCTAAAAATGTTAAGTAAATGAAGTCAAGTTACAATATACGTACAATAGCCCTCCCTCTTGCATGGGGTAAGTTCCAAGAGTCCTAGTGGATGTCTGAAACTGGCTAGCACCAAAACCTACACATGCTGTTGGTTCCCCTGTGCCTGGAGCATTGCCACGTGGCACCAGGGCATCTGTCCTCGCGTGTTTTGTGCCCATTGCCTCTTCTGCATCACGACTTTTGTGCTTTGCATCCATCAGTAAGTGAAGTAAGGGTGACTTGAAGACAAGCACTGTCATCCCATGACAGACTATCCTAAGTGACTAGCTGGTGGGTAACAGATCACTGTAGATGGACTAGACAAGGAGTGATTTCACAGGCTGCTGGAATGGAGGACGATGTAAAAATCTCATCACACTGCTCCTAAAGGAGCGCAGATTGAAACTTTAGAAGTTCATTATCTCCAGTGTATGTTTAGTTTCTTTGGATTCTGGCTGACTGCCAGTAATGAACTGTAGATAAAGAGGGACAGTTGTATGCACATAAACCTGTTGTGTATAAACTTATTTACACTTAAAGATGTAGAAGAAAATATTTTTCCTGTTTGAACTTTACTGTATTTTTCATGCGTAATGTATTTTTATTTTATAATCAGATAAGTGTTATGTAATTAGTTTCCAATATATTTTTCTCGTATGTTCAGTTATAAGCTGATTGTTGATTTTGTGGAGATTTTATATTTGAAGCACTTTTTCTATGATAATTTATGCATTTTTCTTTGCATGATATGGAACTGTGATACTAAAACTTGTTTTCTCATCCTTTAAGACCAAGACCTGGATTACTGGGGAAGTGTGCGGCTGCTGGGCCCTGTATGTGAAGCCGTCCATCTACATTTCTTATCTCTGACTAAGGGACAGTTTGAAACTCGATATGCTCCGTCACTCCAGTGGACGGGTTTTTCAGAGGTTTGGCTTTTGAACAACCTTTACAAATAAAAGACTTTGCAAATACCACTTAGATCCTCTGGTAATTATTATTTGCCAGCTTTAAAGTGGTTTCTGGGGCAGGTGTTTGGCCTGGTGGTGAAAGCACCCACTTCCCATATTGGAGTGGGTGGGCTCGATGCCCAGCTTTGCTCTCAATTCCATCTTCCTGCTAATTTGCACCTTGGGAGGCAGCAGGTGATGGCTCAAGTGGCTGTGCTCCTGCCACCACGTGAGAGACATGGACTTCTGGTTTTGTTCAGCCTGGCCCAGTTCCAGCGACTACAGACATTTGGGTAGTGAACTAGTGGATGGAAGGCATTCTCTCTCAAATAAAATAAAAAAAATAATTCTTTAAAAAAAAGGTCTCCAATCCTAGGCCTTCCAACTGGAAGAAATCTTGAGGGTTGTGAGAAACCTGAGCTGTTATGCAAGGCTTCCAAAGCCTGAGCTGAGAAACATGTCCCTTTGAACAAAAATGTTTTAGAGTCCAACTTTATCAGGATCAGTGGCCCCAGGGTGTTTGGTGCAGGGCTGCTCTTCTTGGGCTAAGAAAAACTGACTACTCCAGAATTAAAGAGAGATCTATGGAGAGATACAAGGTGATCTCCAGGTGGTGGGACCAGCAGACTAGGGACGGGAATGTTTGAATTGTTAACAGAGGGTTGAGGGGAAGATGGTTGGTTTGAATTCTAACCCAAATCTTGTTTGTCAGGTTTTTCTCTGTTTCATTTGGCACATTAAATGACTATAATAAAGTAGTAACTTTAATAAGTCTAATTATGAGATACTTTGGATTTCCTTCTGCAGAGTAGAAGGATCATGGTTTCTCTCTTTAGAGAAGTTTCTTTAAGTGTCAGGTCAGCTGCCCATGTTGATCTGTTATTGAGAACCAACATAATTCAAAATTGGAGATGAGAGATATAGGTCAAAATGGTTGACTGTTAAATTCACAAGTTTGCCATGCTTTTTGCTTTCAATAAACATTGAGATACCTTTCAAAGAAGTCACATACATAAATATTTTTCTTGACTCTTTAGGCATTGTAACATTTATAAAGGAGATGTTTACTGTTCCAAAATAGGAAAATATAGCAGTTGAAATACTTAGATTTTTAATTTCAATAACTAGTATTGTTACTTTGAGAGATATTTTTATTGGGTGCAAATATTAAATAACTAGTTGAGATAGTTAGACTTTGAATTTCAATAAATAGTATTACATTGAGAAATACTTATTAGTGTAAATTCTAACACATGCTTTATTCTGAACAGTTATTTCCTGAAATATTTGACTCCTTGAAAAGTCTACAATCGCCTGCTATTTCTCTTAGCTTAATGAAACTGACATCATGTCTAGAACGAGCCTTGGGTGATGTAAGTGTTATACTCTCAATATTGTTCCAATAAGTTATCTGAACAAACATTGAATTATTTTGAAGTTGCCTTAAGTTTCCTAGATTATTGTTTTCCTCTAAAATATAATCACTTGGTGCCTATTTTTAATATTTTTCTTTTTGAATGGTCATAACATCAACACATTGGTGTTTAAATACTTTTGTCCACTGTACTGCTTCACCAGTTGTTTTTATTAACATTAACTGGCTTATTAGCATGCAACTGGTACATAATTTTTGTCTCCGTTGTAGGTGTTTTTACTGATTGGGAAAGAATGTCCCTTTCTCTTAAGAGATCTGCTTGCCTCTGAGGAGCTTGCCCAGGTCTTCGGTCAGTCTGTGGTAAGCTTGTTCTTCTAAAACTTGCAGAGTGAGTGCAGCACAAAACAAACAAAAACACCTTGGTTTTGGTTCTTCCAAAACTGATGCTGCTTTAGGAAAACAGTCACATTAGTGGTTCACGCGTATTCTCCTTCCTGCCTTTAATTTCAGAATTCCTCCTCTTTCGGCCACCTGTAGCACTTTGTCCTAGGTCCACAGTGCTGGAATAACCTGGATCACAGGGACAGGTGGAAGTATTTTGCTTTGATCACTCATACATTAATACTAAATGCTAACTTAATCCAGAATGAAGTTTTGACCTCTTAAAAAGTGATATTACACTTTTGTTCTAGAATATTGATATTTTAATTTATTTTTTCCCCAGAAACCTTTTATTTAAAGAAGACAAACTTCATACATTTCATAATTAGAACTTTAGGAACATGGTGATTCTTCCCATCATACCTGCCCTCCCACACTCTCTCCTATTCCTCTTCCTCCTCTCTTCTTCCTCCCTATCCTATTCCCACTCTTATTTTTTTACTAACAACTATTTTCAGTTAGCTTTATACACTTATGATTAACTTTATGCTGAGTAAAGAGTTCAACAAAGAGTATAAAAAAAACTATTAATATCAAGACAAGAACTATTCAAAGTCATTGTTTCTCATAGTGTCAATTTCATTTCTACAGATTGCCTGTTAGGTGCTCTATTAGTTATCACAGGTCAGGGAGAACATATAGAATTTGTCCCTTTGGGACTGGCTTATTTCACTACGTATAACGTTTTCCATTTTCATCCATTTTGTTGCAAATGACCAGATTTCTTTCTTGCTTTCTTTCTTCCTTTTTTTTTCCTTTTTTACCACAGTGTAGTATTCCATGTTGTACATATCCTATAATTTCATTATCCAGTCTTTAATGGACCAGTATTTAGGCTGATTCCATGTTTTGGCTATTGTGAATTGAGCTTCAATAAATATGGGGGTGCAGGTAGCTCTTTCATATGCTGATTTCATTTCCCTTTGGTAAATTCCCAAGAGTGGGATGGCTGGGTCCTATGGTAGGTCTATATTCAGATTTCTGAGGTATCTCCATACTGCCTTCCATAGTGGCTGCACCATTTTTTTTTTTAGCTGTTGTGAATGGATTGATCTTAGACGCTCTTTCTCAGCCATAGCTTTGTCTCTGTATACAAAGACTGTTGAGTTTTGTGTGTTGATTATATGTCCTACCACTTTACCAGATTATTTTATGAATTCCAATAGTCTCTAGGGGGAGTCTTTTGGATCCTCTCTATATAGAATTATGTCATCTGCAAATAGGGATAGTTTGACTTCCTACTCTCATTTTGTATCCCTTTGATTCATTTTTCTTGCTTAATGGCTCTGGCTAAAATTTCCAGGATATACTGAGTAGCAATGGTGAGAGTGGGTATCCTTGTCTGGTTCTGGATCTCAGTGGGAATGCTTCCAGCTTTTCCCCATTCAATAGGATGCTGGCTGTGGGTTTGTCTTGTCCTGAATTGCCTCAACTGTGTTGAAGATTATTCCTTCTACAACCAATTTTTCTTAGTTTTCATTATGAAAGGGTATTATGATGCTTTCTCTGCATTTATTGAGATAATCATATGGTTTTTGTTCTCCAGTATGTTAATGTGATGTATCAGATTGATTTGTGAATGTTGAACCATCCCTGCAAACCAGGGATAAATTCCACTTGGTCCAGGTGAGTGATCTTTCTGATGTATTGTTGGATTCAACTGGCTAGTATTTTGTTGAGGATTTTTGTGTCTATGTTCGTCAGTGAAATTGATCTGTAGTTCTTTCTCTGTTCTATCTTTTTCAGGTTTAGGAATTAAAGTGATTCTGGCTTCATAGAATATGGAGGGCCAGCGCCGTGGCTCACTTGGTTAATCCTCTGCCTGTGGCACCGGCATCCCATATGGGTGCCAGGTTCTAGTCCTGGCTGCTCCTCTTCCAGTCTGGATCTCTGCTGTGGCCCAGGAGGGCAGTGGAGGATGGTCCAAGTACTTGGGCCCTACACCCACGTGGGAGACCAGGAGGAAGCACCTGGCTCCTGGCTTTGGACTGATGCAGTGCTGGCCATAGCGGCCATTTGGGGAGTGAACAATGGAAGGAAGACCTTTCTCTCTGTCTCTCTCTCACTGTCTATAACTCTACCTGTCAAATAAAAAAAAGATTATGAGAGGATTCCCTCCCTTTGAATTGTTTTGAATAACTCGAGAGGAATTGGAGTTAGTTCTTCTTGAAACTTACTGTAAAATTCAGCAGTGAAACCATCTGATACTGGGCTTTTTTTGTTGTTGGTAGGGTCTTTATTAGGGATTGAGTTTCTCTCTTGGTTATTGATCTGTTTAGGTTTTCTTTCTCTTCATGGCTCAATTTGGTTAGCTTGTATGTGTCCAGGAATCTATCCATTTCTTCTAGGTTTCCTGGTTAGTTGGCATACAGATCTTTGTAGTAAGTTCTGATGATTCTTTTTATTTCTGTGGTGTCTGTTACATTTACTTTTTCATTTCTAACTTTATTGATTTGGGTCTTCTCCCTCTTTTTTTGGTTAGTTGGGCCCATGTTGTGTCAATTTTGTGTCAATTTTTTCAAAAACCCAGCTCTTCATTTTTTTTTTAAATTTATTTATTTTACTTGAAAGAGTTACACAGAGAGAAGGGGAGGCAGAGAGAGAGAGAGGTCTTCCATCCGCTGGAACACTTCCCAATTGGCCGCAATGGCTGGAGCTGCGCCGATCCAAAGCCAGGAGCCAGAGCTTCTTCTGGATCTCCCACATGGGTGCAGGGGCCCAAGGACTTGGGCCATCTTCTACTGCTTTCCCAGGCCATACCAGAGAGCTGGATCAGAAGTGGAGCACCTGGGACTTGAACTGGCGTCCATATGGGATGCCGGCACTGCAGGCTGTGGTTTTACCCACTACGCCACAGCGCCAGCACAACCAGCTCTTCATTTCACTGATCTTTTGTATTTTTGGTTTCAATTTTGTTTATTTCTTATCTATTTTTAGTGATTTCTTTCCTCTTACTAATTTTGAGTTTGGTTTACTGTTGTTTTTCTAGGTCCTTGAGATGCATTGAAAGCTCATTTATCTTATGCCCTTACAACTTCTGGGAGATGTTCTGCCTTTACCTTCTCTCGTAGTGATGACCATGTTGCTGTGTTTCTGTGTGCAGCATATCCTTAAGCATCTTCTGCAGGCCTGGAGGTGTGGTGACAAATTCTTCCAATTTCTTTTTGTTACAGAAGGTCTTTATTTCACCCTCATTCATAAATGAGATATTTGCTGAATACAATATTCTGAGTTATAGTTTTTTTTTTTTTTCTCTTAAGACTTGGAATATATCTTGCCATTCTCTCCTAGCCTGTAAGGTTTCTGATGAGATGTCAGCTGTGAGTCTAATTGGAGATCCCTTGAAAGTAATGTGTTTTTCTTGTGCATATTTTAGAATCTTTTCTTAATGTTTTACTGTGGAGAGTGTGACTACTGTGTGTCGTGGTGAAGATCTTTCCTGGTCATATCTATAGGAGTTCTATGTGCTTCCTGTACTTGGGTGTCCCTTTCTCCAATTTAGAGAAGTTTTCTGTTATTATTTCTCTAAAAAGACCTTCTATTCCATTCTTTCTTTCCACGCCTTCAGGAATTCCTAAGACCCTTATGTTGGGTCATTTGCTAGTACCCCATAGATCTCCAACATTGTTTGTTAGTTTTCTGATTTATTCTTTTTTTTTTTTTTTTTTTGTCTGAGTGTAAAACTTCCAGAGATTTGTTTTATTTATTTATTTTATTTATTTGACAGGTAGAGTTGCAGACAGAGAGAGAGACAGAGAGAGACAGAGAGAAAGGTCTTCCTTCTGTTGGTTCACTCCCCAAATGGCTGCTACAGCTGGCACTGCGCCAATCCAAAGCCAGGAGCCAGGTGCTTCCTCCTGGTCTCCCATGTGGGTGCAGGGCCCAAGCACTTGGACCATCCTCCACTGCCCTCCTGGGCCACAGCAGAGAGCCAGACTGGAAGAGGAGCAACTGGGACCAGAACCAGCGCCCATAGGGGATGCCGGTGCCACAGGCAGAGGATTAACCAAGCGAGCTGTGGTGCCGGCTCAGAGGATTTGTTTTCTAACTCGTATATTCTTTCTTCTGTTTCACTGAGTCTCTTGTTAAGTCTTTCCATTGCATTTAAAAAATTTTTTATTGAATTCTTCATCACCAAGATTTCATATTAAGTTCTCAGTTTCATGGGAGAAATTTTCTTTCATGTCATGTATGAGTTTCATTAGTTTGTAGATTTGCTGCTTATTCTGAAGTAATCCTATGGTCAAATTTTTGATTTTCATTTCTGGGATTTCTTCAGTCTCTTCATCTTCACATTCTAATATTGAGGTGTTTTGTTCTTTTGGGGGCATCATGTTGTCTTCTGTATTCTTGTTCCTTGAATTGCTGTATTTATTATTTGGCTTTTGTAGAGATACTTATTGGTTCCTTTTTTGTTTTGTTTTTTCCATGTGATGGCTTTCATCTTTGGACTATGCCTCTGTGGCCTAGTGGAGTGTTGACTTACTCAGTGAATACCCAGAGACGTGTGCTGGGTGTGGCCAGGGGGCTCTGTTCAGTGCTCCAGAGTGAAGGGAATATCCAAGGTGACACCAGGTTGGGTGTGGTAAATCTCCCTCTCTCTCTTTTGTTTTAATTGCAGGGGAGGGTTTGTTCAGTTCTGTTGGTGGAGTCTCATGCTCACCTCTGCTCCTCAGAGAAGGCCAGTGCTTGGGCGCCAGCCCCAGTGGGTGCAGCATTGACCTGCTCGTCCACAAGGACCACACAAAGGATCTGTGTAGTTTTTGGTATAAGCATAGGTCCTGCAGCAATGACCCTCACTCACCAGGGAATCAGCCCTGAGCATGTGGAGCCACCCACAGTGACTGCCCAAAGTTCCAGCCACACCCTGGGCCCTCCCACACAGCCACAGTGTTTTTACTGTCCCAGCACACAAGGTTCCCACAGCGTGAGCACCCAGCTCCCTGACAGTTCGCCCAGCCAGACTCAGGCATCTCCTCTCAGCTAGTTTTTGGGTGTGTGGACACGAGCTGGTGCGGCTGTTTCATATGTTCAAAGTGGCGTGCCCTCTCAGCTAGTTAGAGGACGCCGGTGCTAGGTGGTCAGTGAGCAAGAAATGTGCCCCCTTTTTTTCCCTCTTCTAGTTTGGCAGATACACTATCCCCCGCAGGGCTCCAAGCTGGGCCCATGCTAGCCTCTTCCTGTAGCTTTATTGCCAATGGCGTGGGCTGCTGCAGACTGGTCTCACTTGAGGTTCTCAGCTGCTGGGGTCCTGAGTTGTGTGTGTCCGCACCTTCCGTGTAGGTGCACAGTGTCCCTCTAATTTGTGTGGAGTGTTCTCTGACGTTTTCTCCCTAAGACTTCCCTGAGACTGCACTCTCTACACTTTTTTTAAACTGTCTTTCCCTGGGCCAGAGCAGTAAGCTCCCTTTCTATTCTGCCATCTTGGATCTCCTTAGAATATTAATATTTTGACATATGGGAACTCAGGCCCTTGGCAATCATTTAAACTAGCAGTGAAAAAATATTTGGATATTGATTAAAAAAAAGTCACAGAATCTGGAAGAGGGTGCACATCAAGTCACTTAAGACAAGAACAGCCTGTAGGCAACAGGGTGAGGCAGGAGAAACCCAGGAACCCCTCGTTGTTCAGAAAGTTGTGCTCACCACAGCAGTGAGCAACACACCCTTTGCTTTTGGCTAAGAACCTGGCCCTCAGCAGCACCCTGCACTCAGTGCTGTGGATCCCTCTAGCCTAAAGGGCACTTGCTTTTGGGAAGAGCGTGGGATGTTGCGCTGGATTCTGACTCTGCTCTGCTCTTTTTCCTGCCTGGTTGCTGGGAGCCTTTCCCTACCACCAGACGCTGTTAGCCACTCTCACAAGTATCTCTGTTCGCCCAGAAGATGTAAATGAAGCACATTAAATTAATGGGAGAGCAGACTTCCTGAAGTTGCAGTGAGGAACCTGTTGTCTAGCGTTGCTGGGCCAAGCTGAAACCCTCCTTGTAATTCCCACCTGTTCTCTGAAGGAGACTTAATCCGTCTGCCACACAGTGGCAGTGTTTCCTAGGAATGAGGACAGCTTTGGTTATGTGCGTACGTCTTCACATGACGTGATTTAAATATCTTCTATTTGTGCATAGCTCTTGTGCAGTGTGGTGCTTCAAGCCCAGAAGCAGTGCTCTGGGAACTCCTCCAGTGGCTGTGCCGCTCACTGTGTAGACAGGTGACCTGGAGGTGGGGGCACAGGGCTGGAGCCTCACTGGTCTAGCTCTCCATGCTGTCTTGTTACTTAACCATTCAGGTCCACGCTGCCAGATGCCGAGTTTGTGTTGATTGCTTTCTGTTTCACTTGATTCGATGTCAGGGACCTTGGATGTGCAGTGCCTTTCCCAGCCTCCCTGAGAGGTGGTTCTGAGGACTGATGAGTGGGTCAGTGCATGCATGTGCAACACTCAGGGTGCTGGCTGTGTGATTAGTACTATTACTGTTCTACAGCAGCCGAGCCATCTGGTCTGCTAGTTCTAGTCGTGACCTGCACTCTCGCTTCAGGTGGATGTGCTGAAAGTCTTCATTGGCTCTCCACGGGGACTCAACCTGCGGAACATCTTGTGGCATGGATTTGCATCACCCCGAGAGGTTCCTCCAAAGTAAGATGCTGGAAAAGTACTTTTCCTTCTTTTTCGTCTGCTTAAGAGTTTATTTTAGCTTGAATTCATGAGAGAGGAAGATGCATGAGAGAGGGATGAGGGGTGAGACAGGATTGTGAGGCTAGAGAAGATTGCCGGGGTGTGGTTTCAGCCCCACACAGCCTGGAGGCCCAGCAGGGGTCACACAGGGTGTGGTGGTGCACCCAGGTCCCAGGCGGGAGGGGGCCCAGAGTTTCTGAGATAATTACTGTTTTTTCCAGCTATGGCACAGCTGAATACCTGTACTTGTATCTAGGGGAAATTTTCTGCAAGTTGATAATGCTTTGGTTTTTAAATTTTAAATATTTGGAAAGTAAAGCTGTCATGTATGTGTGACTGAGCTTGTGTTTCTAACAGATCTCCGTGCTATTTTTCCCTAGATACTGTTCAATGATGATGCTGTTGACAGTAGGATTGGGACAGTTACTGAAGAGTTTCCTTCAACAAACCACATTTACGTTGACACATCGATCCCTCATAACTCTTAGGAACCTAGAGGAGTTGATTGTTTTTCCTGGCAAGTACTCTGTTTCAATTTCCCCTCCTACTGCGTCTTCACGACAGTATTTAGACTTGAAGTCCTGCAGTGGCAAGGTGGCTTTGACAGTTGCTTGAAGAACTCAGAGCCGTTACCACGTACGACTCAACCTCTTCTCACACTCTCCCTATGTGCATTGGGATTCAAGCACAGCTGTGCTGATCTCCTTGAATCACAGTGGATGATGGAGCTCAGAGCTCATTGACTCCTCAGATGTCGAGATGGCCCAATGGCTTTGGGCCGTTTTATACTGCACTTCTCCTCCTTTCCGTTCTTGAGCATTTGTCCTCAAATCATGACACCCAGAGTGCCTGTGGTGTGAAGGATCACCCGCAGCTTCTGAAAACGTCTTACTTCTGGCCAGTGTGTTCGACTGGCCCCCTGACTGCCCCCTCCACACTGGCCTCCCTGAATCACCACAGAGGTGCAGGAGTCCGTGCCCCCCCCCATGTCCCTGAGGTCCCCCTTGCCTGTGGCTCTAGGTGAGGCTGTCCCCCTCTTTGAGGGGAGCATTGTGCCTGGGAACTGTGGTCAGCCCTGAGAGGGCAGCACCCCATCTTTTTGAGTTGTGTAGTATGGTTGTGTTTAAAAATGTTTGCTGTTTTACAGATGTTCCTTATGAAGTACTTTCAGTGTTAGAAGAAATCATGAAAAAATCCTCTTTTATATTAAAAGTCATGTTACCATACTGGGAAGCTGCGTTGGTCAGGTTCAGGTCACACAGGTAAGGAGGGCAGTGTGGTTGGACACCTTCGACGCCCTTGTCCTTCACACTTTTGTCATTGGAGAAGCACTTGGAGGTGGGGCTGAATGTCTTCATACAATAATGGAAGAGGCAGCCTGTAATTATGTTTAAACGTGTCATACATTTCACATTATCATTTTTCAGAATCAAGTTGTACGTATTTTTGAGTTCTTGCTATGAGTGAAATGTGTGCAGTGCCAGAGCATCATGAAAGAGCAATCAACTTTGTTGTTATTTTGTGTCTTTAAAAATTTTTATCTGCATTTTTTATTTGAGGTAGAGATGGGGACGGGGTGGGGAGGAGAAAAAGAAATAGAAACAGAGAGAAAGCTTCCATCTGCTGGTTCACTCCCCAGATGCTCACAGCAGCTGGGCTGGGCTGGCTGAAGCTGGAAACAGGAACTCGGTCCAGGTCTCCCACATGGGTTGCAGGGACGCAACCGCTTGAGCCATCACTGCTGCCTCCCAGGAAACGGGAGTTGGGAGCAAGCAGGGCCTCAAACCCAGATACTTGGATGTGGTTTGCAGGCATCCCAACCAGCATCTTCACTGTTGGCCAAACCCCCTTCCCTTATATTCTCTTTGCGTAAGAGCGAACGCTATACAGGAGGAAAACATTCACCTCGTGCAGATCAGGAGGGCAATGAGTTGATCTTGACAGGTGACATTACCTTCACGTTTATGCCTTGACAACCCACTGCGTCCTATTCGAGTGTTCTTTAGAGGTGAAGAGATGAGTTAGGCTGGTATTTGATGACATTTTATATCCTGAAGCTACTAAAAATAGTTCATTGAAATTAAAACACTGAAATATAGTTTTAAAATTAGTAGTCTAATGAAACTTTGATTTTGTTTCTCCTATTAGTAAATAATGTTACTTGCTTTTACTATAGCATTGTCATATTTAGACCACAGAATAGTTATTGTGGTGTTGGCATCAATATTTAGTTTTGAAATGTAGAGCTTTCTTCTTTTTTTAATTTCACAGGTTTGCTGACTGTGCCATACTGTTATTGACACAACTGGAGACTGGACTTAGGAAAGTTTTTGCTACAGTTAACAAATGTCCCAAAAGACTGCTGACTGCTGAGGTACACACTTGCTTTTATTGTTGATGAGATTTTTGTTGCATGGACAGCTTTCTGTGCCTAACTGAAAGTTTTTTTGAAAGATTTATTTATTTATTTGAAAGTCAGAGTTACAGAGAAAGGAGGAGACACAGAGACATCTTGCATCTGCTGGTTCACACCCCAGCTAAGCACAGTGACCAGGACTGGGCCAGGCCAGAGCCAGGAGCCAGAAGCTTCATCCAGTTCTCCCATGTTGGTGTCAGGGGCCCAAGTTCTTGGGCCATCTTCCATTGCTTTTCCCAGGCCATTAGCATTGAGCTGGATCAGAAGTGGAGCAGCAAGACATGAACTGGTACACACGTGGGATGCTGGTATTGCAGGCAGTGGCTTTATGTGCTATGCACAATGCCAGCCCCACCTAATTGAAACTAAAAATGATTTCATTTCTCATTGAAATGAATTTTTTAGTGAAAAATTTTCTTTGGAAGGTTTTACTGGCATTTTCTGTGACTTCCTATTACAATGCTTTTGTCAGATTTATGTTTATTTTAATCATGATTGGTTTTGGTAGTTCTATAATATTTCTCAATTGTCTTTTAAACTTAGCGATGTCCCATCAGTAATGAGCACTCCCTCTATTTGCTGCATTCTGGTGGAGGCCTCTGCTGGCTCTGAGTGGAGCCCTCCTGATGCTGCCCCTGGTGCCATGCCTGGGGTTAGGACATGGACTTCTCTCAGCACCTTGTTGTGGAGGGAAGTTTCATTGTCCGCAGAAAGAAATAGATTCTCATTCGTCATAGCCCTCATGGATTGCTCTTGCAACTGGCTGTTTGGTAGCAAGCTCAGTTGCTGTGTGGCCATATAAATTAAGCTATAAATAAACTTGATGATGTACTTGTCAGTTGGCTGTGCAAACGAATGACATGGATATGTCTACAGAGCATGCAATTTGACAAGGAACGGCCTGAGTTTTAGTCCAGACTCTTCCTCAGAAAGACCTGGGTCAGTTTATAAGGTTGTGCATACATGACGATGTTTTATAAATAGACCAGTGACTGTGTAAGTACCATTATTTACTGAGCACTTTCTGCAGCTCAGTCTCTTTTGGATCCGTGGAAGTTGTGAATATGAGCAAGAGTGGCTTTTGAGAGCTTGTCTGTTATAGGAGAGAATATGCTTCTCCTGATTCCATAAAACTAGACAGAATTCATATACATGTAATTTATGAAAAAATTCAGCATTTTGAAAAAAGTAGTGGGGATATTTAGAAGACAATTGAATGTTTAGAGGAGAGCTCAGGAAATGTCCCAGCAGTGCTTGAGAGCTCAGGAAGAGGTTTTAGGGTCACGTCCAGGACGCTGTGTGTTGGAGAACGTTTAATTACACAGGTTGAGCATCTCTGATCTGAGACCTGAACCACTCACAGATCTGCTCTGGTGCCACAGGTGAGAGGCTCACACCTGGTGGGTCGCCATCAAGACACAGGTGTGCTGAAATTTGCATGTAATGCTACCTTCAGGCTCTGTGTAAGGCGTATATGAAACATAAGTGCATTTTGTTTGTAGACTTGGCTCCCCTCCCCAAGGTAGCTTTTATAAGTACAAATAGTCTAAAATCCAGGAATTAAATATTGTAAGCGCTTCTGGACCCAAGGTCTTGGATAAAGGGATAATCAAGCTGTGTTTGGTTGAAAGTTTTCCAGGGAAAACCTGTGTTTGTGGAGCTAAAGAAGCTGCCCGGGGCTTCCCTTGTAGAGATGTGAAGCTCCAGTGCGACTAGGAGAGAGTGGCCCTGGGGCCTGTGCCCACAGGCTCTGTGCTGGTTACATCAGGTAGCAGCTAAAACAGAGGCCCTTTGTTGGAGAGCGTATTAAAGTGTGCTCACTTGTGCCTAAGCGCCAGTCACCAGGAGAAACACTCTGGTGTGAGTAGCGATGTGTAAAGAGAAGTCTGCAGCTGTGAATTTTACCACTAACAGCCACAAGACTGTAAGGGCAGCATTTAACACAGCTCGGTTACTCGGTTCCCTGTATTTTTGTGTCTTTTACAGCATGTTTATTTTATGACTCTTCCACAGTTGTGGGTAGTTAATGTTCATTTTCATAAGAAAGTTTTAGGTTTGGGGCCATGTCCCAGAAATTTTTCCTGTTTTGAATAATGTTACTCTACTTTTATTTTGCTTTAATCGTTTCTTTTCATTTCTTTCCTTTTTTGAAGTCAACAGCTTTTTATACCACCTTTGATGATGTAAGTACACTTACAAGGTAACTTGAAACCATCCAAACATTGTCTTCTTTTATTTATTTATTTGAAAGGCAGAGAGTTAGAGCTTCAACTGCTGGGTCACTCCCCAAGTGGCCGCAATGGCCAGGCTTTGACAGGCTGAAGCCAGGAGCCTGAAACTCCATCCAGGTCTCCCACATGGGTGGCAGGGGCCCAAGAACTTGACTGGTCTTCTACTGCTTTCCTCGGTGCATTAGCAGGGAGCTGAACCAGGAGTGGAACAGCCAGGACTCAAACCTGTGACCGTGTGGGGTGCTGACTCTCATGTTATGGCTCAACCCACTGTGCCATAATGCCTGCCCCCAGTTGTTGACCTGAACCATACACAGGTCTCCAACTTCAACACTAATTGAAGCACAAAATTAAAGACAAACCATAAGTCATATGCATATAGAAAAATGTTTGGAGTAATATATTAAAAATAGAGAGAGACTAGATTTAAATATAGTTTTCATGTTTTTAAAGACCCAGTGTTACTAATCTACTTTCTGAAGTGACATGAAGCTCCGAGCTGGAAAATGCCTGGAGGTGCTAATGTCACTGGCTGTCATTAGTTAGAGGTATTCATCGTAGAGTCAGGATTAGCGTTTGTCTTTCTTGGGTATGGAATGTAACTCAACTGCTAGGTGCTGTTACCTCCTGCTAGGTGCTGTTATGTACTGTTACCTCCTGCTAGGTGCTGTTACCTCCTGTTATATACTGTTACCTCCTGCTAGGTGCTGTTACCTCCTGTTATGTCCTGTTACCTCCTGCTAGGTGCTGTTACCTCC